AAAAAAAAAAAAAAAAAAAAATTAGCTGGGCATGGTGGCGGGCACCTGTAATCCCAGCTACTCGGGAGGCTGAGGCAGGAGAATTGCTTAAACCGGAGGCAGAGGTTGCAGTGAGTCAATATTACCCCACTGCACTCCAGCCTGGGTAACAGAGCAAGACTCCTTCTCAAAAAAACAAACAAACAAAAAAAACACAAAAAGTATTACTAGACACTGAAATTTGCATTTCATTTTTATTTATTATTAGTATTACTTTTGAGACAGGGTCTCACTCTGTCACCCAGGCTGCAGTGCAGTGTCATGGTCGTAGCTCAGTGCAGCCTCAAACTCGTGTGCTCAAGCAATCCTTCTACCTCACCCTCCTGAGTAGCTAGGTCTATAGGTGCGTGTCACCACACCTTGCTAATTTTAAAAATACTTTTGTAGAGATGGGATCTTGCTATGTTGCCCAGATTGGTGTTGAACTCCTGGCTTCAAGTAAACCTCCAACTTCAGCCTCCCAAAGTGCTAGGATTATGGGCGTGAGCCACTGCAGCCAGCCTGAAATTTGAATTTCATTAATTTTCACGTCAAAAAATAGATTCTTCTATTGATTTTTTTTTCAACTGTTTAAAATGTAAAAATCAGCCAGGCATGGTGGCTCACACCTGTAGTCCCAGATGCTCTAGAGGCCAAGATGGAAGGATCACTTGAGCCCAGGAGTTTGAGGCTGCAGTGAGCTATGATGGCACCACTGCACTCCAGCTTAGGTGACAGAGTGGAATTTGTCACCAAAAAAAAAAAAAAAAATTCATTGTCAATCCCTGTCCTCTGCAGTTTGTGCAGCAGTATGCCTCGCAGTTTCTTCCTGTAACTTCACCATTTTCCTTCTCCTTCCCAGGCTCAAGTCAAGACGTAAAGGTGGTGGTCCTGCAGGCTCTGTCCTTAGCACTCTTCTCTTCTCCCTCTCTCTATTCTCCATGGACTTTTTATTTTCTTGAGACAGGGTCTCGCTCTGTCACCCATACTGGAGTGCAGTGGCATGATCTTGGCTCACTGCAGTCTCTGCCTCCCAGGTTCAAGCAACTCTTCTGCCTCAGCCTCCCAAGTAGCTGGGACTGCAGGTGCATGCCACCCTGCCTGGCTAATGTTTGTATTTTTAGTAGAGTTGGGGTTTTGCCATGTTGGCCAGGCTGGTCTTCAACTCCTGGCCTCAATTGATCCTCCTGCCTCAGCCTCCCAGAGTGCTGGGATTACAGGCATGAACCACTGCACCCAGCCTCTCCCTGGACTTTAATCAGACCATGTCTTCAATTAGCACCTCTACATTGGCAATGTTGTGTATGTTAAGCCGTTATATTTAGCTCTGACCTTTCTTATGAGGCTTAAAACCTTTCCCAGTATCTGGAAGTTAAAGTCTAAAATCCTTAGCCTGGCCCTAGGACCCGCTTAGTCTGAACTCCTGATGCACTGCCAGGCCCCTGGGCCAAGCCACGGGATAGCTTCCAGCAGGTCATCTGCTTCCTCCTCCTTATCTTTGCTCATGCTCCTCCCTCTGCCATCACAAGCCTCTCTCCTTGTCTCTACCTCCCTTCCTCTCCTCCCAGCACATGCCAAATCGATGCCCTGCCCTTTGACAACCCACTCAGAGGGCCACTTACCTGTCAGATTCAGCTCAAATACCTTTCCCTCCTTTTCGTTAGAATCAGGGTCTGGCTCTGTCATCCAGGCTAGAGTACAAGGGCGAAATCTAGGCTCACTGCAGCCTCCACGTCCTGGGTTCAAGTGATTTTCCTGCCTCAGCCTCCTGAGTAGCTGGGATTACAGGCATGCACCACCATGTCCAGCTAATTTTTTGTATTATTATTTTTAGTAGAGACTCAGTATGTCTATGTTGCCCAGGCTGGTCTCAAACTCCTGGCCTCGAGCAATTTTCCTGCTTTAGTCTCCCAAAGTGCTAGGATTACAGGTATGAGCCACTATGCCCAGGCTGAAGCCCCGTTTCATAGATAAGGCTAAACATTTTCCTGTGTGCCCATAGAGCCTTATGCACTTCTCCATTTTATTGCTTGCTTTCTCACTACAATTAGGTCAAAAATAATTGAATACTGGTTCAACATCAAATATATATATATATTTGAGACGGAGTCTTGCTCTGTCGCCCAGGCTGGAGTGAAGTGGCATGATCTCAGCTCACTGTAGCCTCTGCCTCCTGTGTTCCAGCGATTCTCCTGCCTCAGCCTTCTGGGTAGCTGGGATTGCAAACACACGCCACCATGCCTGGCTATTTTTTTTTTTTTTTTAATTTTTAGTAGAGACAGGGTTTCACCATGTTGGCCGGGCTGGTCTTGAACTCCTGACCTCAGGTGATCCACCCACCTCAGCCTCCCAAAGTGCTGGGATTACAGGCATGAGCCATCACGCCCAACCAACATTTCATTTTCAGCTGCCTTTCGTGGAAGAACATTTAGCCTTTGGTCTCTTTCTTGATTTATGGCAGCTCATGGCTTTCAAGAAAACTCCCTATGGATAGGCTGTGTGACTTTTTTGTTTTGTTTTGTTTTTTGAGATGGATTCTTACTCTATTGTCCAGGCTGGGGTGCAGTGGCGTGATCTCGGCTCACTGCTACCTCTGCTTCTCAGGTCCCAGCAATTCTCCTGCCTCAGCCTCCCAAGCAGCTGGGATTATAGGCATGCACCACCATGCTTGGCTAATTTTTGCATTTTTTTTAGTAGAGATGGGGTTTCACCATGTTTGCCAGGCTGGTCTCAAACTCCTGTCTTCAGGTGATCTGCCCACCTCAACTTCCTAAAGTTTTAGAATTATAGGCATGAGTTACTGCACCCGACCTATCAATGTTATTTTCAAACAAACCTTCAAAAGTTTATTCCAAGGCCTTGCTCTCATAGCAGCAAAGCCTGTCTGTTGCACAGTGGGGCTCTTGGTAGCATCTTCCTGTTGGTGGATGTTGTGCAGGCCTGGGGCAGTAAGGCATGTTAACCTCGAGGACATCGAACCTGGCTGGCCTGACTGTTGGGTCTCCCTCCTAGGACACGGTGAGCCATGGGCGGGATGGTGCCTTTCAAAGCTGCTCTGACGGAGCGCTTAGCCCTAATCCAGCCCTCTATGCAGAGACTCATAGCAGAACACTTTCCACACCTGACTCCCAGCATAAGGTAAGACCCCTGCTGCAGGTCTATTTCAGGACCAGAGTTGGGGGGCACATCCTTCTGACAGCATCTAACTATTGCTTTAGAGCGTGCTCTGGGTGATTTATGTATTTTTATTTTTTATTTTTATTATTATTTTTAAAAATGTATTTATTTATTTTATTTTATTTTTTCAAGATGGAGTCTCTCTCTGTCACCCACGCTCGAGTGCAGTGGCATGATCTCGGCTCACTGCAAGCTCCACCTCCCGGGTTCAAGCGATTCTCCTGCCTCAGCCTCCCGAGTAGCTGGGACTACAGGCGCCTGCCACCCACCCAGCTAATTTTTTGTATTTTCAGTAGAGACAGGGTTTCACCATGTTAGCCAGGATGGTCTCGATCTCCTGACCTCATGATGTGCCCACCTCGGGCCTCCCAAAGTGCTTCAATTACAGGAGTGAGCCACTGCGCCCGGTCTATTTATTTATTTATTTATTTAGAGGCAGAGTCTCGTTCTTTCGCCCAGGCTGGGATTGCAATGGTGCAATCTTGGCTAACTGCAACTTCCACCTCCTGGGTTCAAGCGATTCTCCTGCCTCAGCCCCTCAAGTAGTTGGGATTTCAGGTGCCCACCACCACGCCAGGCTAATTTTTGTATTTTTAGTAGAGATGGGGTTTCGACATGTTGGCTAGGCTGGTCTCAAACTCCTGACCTCAGGTGATCTGCCTACTTGAGCCTCCCAAAATGCTGGGACTACAGATGTGAGCCACCGCGCCTGGCCTCAACATCAAATATATTTAAATGTTGGTACCAGCCAGGTACGGTGGCTCATGCCTGTAATCCCAATACTTTGGGAGGC